TCCAGAAGCCACTGCGCCAGCCAAAGCGACAACCCTGATCCCTTGCGTGGCCTACATTAACTACAGCGATGTCTGCATCGCGCGGAGGAACTCGCTGAAGTACATCTGTGTCCCGGGGAGAAACCGACACGCAATGAGCACGCCCACCGCTTCTCTCTATGCGCTCCGTCTCGCCCAGATCACCCCACAAGAATCCCATGATGATCCGTACATCGCTGCTCTTCTCATCGCCCTTGCCCAATCAAAGCGACGGTTCCTGGGGCTTGTGCAGCCACGACCTTCGCCCGATTCCTACTGCGTACGTCATGTCGACTCTCCCAAGTCCCCCTCCCCTGTTGCTTCAACTCTCATCTAACGTTGACCTGAATAGGTACACGTGCTTCGAACAGATCCCACGGACGAGTCATACCTCACTCTCTATTCGGCCGACATACCTGCCACCATGCTCCGAAAGCTTTCATACTCCAACAAGCCATCTCGCATGCCCTCCAACTTCTCCGTCTTTTCCAAAAAGATTCCGTTCAAGCCCTATTCGTCCTTTCAAGAGCGTCTACTCCAATCCATCATTCCCCAGACTTCCAAGCGACAAAGAAACCGGGAACATGTCGATCCCCGGGATAGTAAGCGCCAGCGGACATGATCAAAGAGCAGCTGCCAACATTACAGGGCGACGGATGAGGATAGATGGGCCGCAGGTATGCCAACCTGAGATACGAGACCTGACTGGGAAGCGGGACGGCGTAGAGCGACTTTGGATTTACAGATGCGGCCGCCGGTTCGAGGCCAAAGATACCCATTTGGACTGTTTTTTTCTGGCGTTGGTACATGGTATACCCAATATGGTTTGGCGGTCGAGATATCGTAGATATGCTGAAGAGCAAAGAAAATCCTTCGAGCAGCCGTGTTTTTCAATCGTGGCAACACGAATGTGTTCATGAACTTCGACGAAACTGATTGTGACAGCGCCCGCGAATTTAAATAAAGAGATAGCTAATCCCGCCGCACGAAATCGACGATATGCTGGCGGACGTCAATGGAAGTCAACCGCTCTGGTCTCAGAACCCGACGGCTGAGTTTGGCGAGGACGCGACATTGATGGTCCAACAGAGCGCAGAATGTGCCAAAAACGTCTCAGCATTGCCATTCGACAGCCTCGCAAGATGACCAAGACATTGTAGCATGTGATCATATGCTCTGAATGCCTTGTTGGATACGAACTTTTCCACTTACGTCCAGGCCCACTGGGAGATCTTGGAGGGAGTCCTTTTGCGCGATCGGAGGTTCCAGACACCACGATGCTGGAGTTGAAGAAGTTGGTATCTGGGAGGGATGAAAGAGGCTGTTCACTCTATCCGCAAATGACAAGAGCCAATCACTCTCTTGGGTTCAATAAATCTTCCTCGGTGGAGGCAACAGCCTCGTCGCACTGGAAAGAGAAGATGCTCCTCGTCGACGAGAGAGGATGCGTTGCTGCCACGAAGCCTGGTGATTGAGATGTGCGGACTACGAAGAGGAGACCCGTTAGTCTTGGGCCTTCGCTCAGCACCAGCGTCAAATTCAGGCCTCAGTTGCTCTTGCTTCCGGACTTCATTGATCAGCTTGAGAACTCTTTTGTTGATGACGTTGACCATCTTGTGGATGCCCCATATGGCTCTCATAGTTCCAGTGCGCATATCCGTCTGGTTTGTCAGAAGTATGCTCGCTTGTGGCCTGTCGGAGCAGGCCTGGGAGCGTTGATAGGGGCCTGCGAAGAATCGTTAACTGTAATGTAGTACGTGGAGAAGAGAACGACGACTGCCTTGCCAGGGAGCAGTCCTATATATCGCAAAATCGGTCGAGCCTGGGGTAGCATTCCTCATCTGTGAATACCAGTAGGATGTGGTCGAACCTCCCGAGAGATAGCGATCTCTCTCCAAACGATGCTCAGCCTCGGAGACAGACATTGCGACCGGCCAGCTGAGTAAGCATGTGTTGGTGTTTTTGTTTGGATATTGTGCGAGCTTGTTGTCAATAGGAGAGATACGAGGAGACACGACGGCTAGCGGTAGACTGTGCGATGGGATATTTGGACGGGGGGTTGCAACACTTCCCCATCAAAGTAACCAGGGTCTCGACCTTCGAGGCTCTACAGCTTTCCGACTCTGCGTTATCACCACGACATATCGACACAAACCTCAGAGCCTCTTTCACCTCCAAGAGATAGTCATCACTCCGTCCACATGTCCTCAGCAGCCTGGCAACCACAACTGTCCATATCCCTTTCTGCGTTACCAGTCAGCACAAAAGTCGTCCGCTGCCAACCCGGTTGATTCAAATTTGGCCGCTAAGTTTCCTCTGCCAATGAGTGTTGCCAGATTTGCACATGCCCACAGGAGGTGTTGCGAGGGTCCCGAGAATTGGGATCCACCCACTCCCGGCGTCTTGCTTGAACCGAGTACTGCAATGGATCCTGTGGTGTTTCAATTCCGTCTCGTTCAACACCTGGTAGGTTTGCTCCATGTGTATTCACCGGAAGAATGCATTGACACGAAGGACTGCTACGTCCCGCAACACTTTTGCTTCGGAGTGACCGTGGGGGCGGATGCAAGATGTTGAATAGGTATCGAGAAAGTAGTGGGAAAGGAGGCCGAGCAAGAGATCGAGAAAGCGGGCAAGGGAGAGTTCGAGGACGAGATTGAGGAAGACTCCAAGGAAAGGTCAACGAAGAGATGAAATACAGGTAGCGGCGGCAGGATTACTGGGTCCCTTTCCATCGAGCGTGGTCTAAGAAATCAATCAGTACTGTGTGCGAATAAGGAAAGAATAATATATGGAGGGCAGCCCACTCAGTTGAGAAACTTCTTGCTGGCAACTTTGGCATTCGCAGAACTGGTCGCTTGATCGTTGGATGGGTGGCGACGATGGCCTTTGCAGTGCCACGCATGCTCGGTGCCGAGTCCTGGGCAACGCTCTGCTGCGTCGGTAGACTCCGCTCAGCAATCTGGGAATGACGCCTCGATCGGCCAGCTTCCAGTCACAGCGTACGATAGGTATGTTGCCAGCTTCCGTGACTTCTTGCGCGGCGCGTCCGGCATGTGGTATTGGGTTTGTGTTGTGCCTCGTCTGCCCTGTCAGTGGTGAAGTCATTCGGGTGCGCGTGGGAAGGGAGAAAAACCGAACAAGGACAATTGTCAAGCAGGAAGAGCCAGGCCCGCATGTTCCCGTACCTTACCTAGCTGAAGCCACCTGCCTGCCTGCCTGCCTGCTTGCCTGCCTGAGCTTAGGGTCGTCCTTGGACGGACTAATATCAGCTGGGAAGGTAGCTGCCGACCTTGGAAACTATGAACCTGACCAGCGCCTGTCACAGCCATCCAGGTTACAGCATATTGGTTGAGTTGGGCAGTCACGCACTTACCCCACCTTCAAGGCTTGCCTTCCTGATGAGAAAATGGCTGCCTTAAGGTACCTAGTCTGAGAAGAAAGTCTCCCTTAGCAGGACCAAAGAGTGCACCCGCCGCGTTCGCTGGGATTGGCCCACAGGTTTGCGTGACGGCACCAAACACCTTTTGTGTGCCAGCTGTCGCAACCGGGCACAGTAGGGCGTGGAGGTGAAGCATGGGCTACTGGGGTGATGGACTTGGACAGCGGGTGCGTCATGCGTCCGCACAAGGAGGTCCCTTCTGCGAAGTTATCGACCACCTTCTGATTGAATCGGCAGCACTACCACTCAACTGTAAATCGGTAGAAGTCGGCAGTTGGCCACAGGAGACGTGCACATGCGTCAGTCTCTCCCACCCGGGCAGATTCTCTGCCCGGGTGGGAACAACGTTGGAGGAGCCAAAGCGGAGTCTATTGCCAGAGTGTCTGCATAAGAGAATGGTCGGGGCGGGGCGTCAGAGGCCTTCATCATGCGTGCATGACGAATCCATGTGCAACTACGTAGTATTGTCGCCGTGCAGGTGTTGGGCGGCGACAATGTGCAGGTGGCTGTTAAAACGGCGCCGAGCTGAGTGGGTCACCGAGAACGTGCGGATGAAGTCCTCCACTGCGAATAGCGAAGTTGCGACCGCGATTGCGACAGGTGCAGTGCAGTTGAGAAGTGGCACATGCTAGAACGTGTGCGCCTTTCACGACCTTTTGGGTGCATCGCTATCGCATCTCCCCGTCTGCAATCGCCTTGCAGGAGGTAGGTTCGATTTTCCACGACGCACCCGATCCAAGTCTTTTGGTCTTGGTGGGCATGCACTGGCTCCTCAGCCCGCGTGTCTGACGATGGTGGGTGGCGGGACTGCTTTCCCTCTGGCTTGCGCGAGGATTCCTGAACCGCGAAAGACTCCTAGCAGCGGGTCGTTGCACAAAAGAAGGTCGGTCGATCGGGTAAACGTGCACCTTCCAAGACATGCCGGCGCTGCGGCATCTAGTGCTGTGTGCGAGGGCGGAGCTCTTCGCGTATGTACAGTGACTGGATGGGCATGAATTCCGGCAACACCATTGCCCAGTCATAGACTGGCAAGGTGGCCCGAGCTCTCAGCAGTTTGGAGGACGAGGACGTCATCGCCTCTGAACCACGACCATACCGACGATGTGATCCGCCCAGGCTCAAGAAGAGGTCCGTAGAGCGCACTCAACGCGAACCAAGGCTAACGGTATCACAATTACGCAGACATCACATCGACGGAAGCAGTCCAATCATCCTCGATGTACCCCGAATGACATAAAACAATCGCCACGGCAATCGTCCACGAAGAAACCAAAGCCAAAACCATCGCGCAAAGGATCAGTTCGAAAACCGTCATGGGTGGAACGCGCCCTTGAACACGAAGGTATGTACTTCCACTCGATGTTCCAGAATCTGAGCCTGGGCGAAGTACACGAGAAATTGCGAGGGAAAATGCTGAGGCCGAGGGAAAGGATACTCCAGGGCGAAAAGTGCGGTCTGTGTTGCATGTTGTGTATGGCGAAGCGCTTGCTGGCGGTTCGTCCGGGACTTTCTGACCGTGGCCACTCCACACATGGGTCGGTCAGCTCATGTTGATCTGAATGCCTTTACCGTCCTTCTTGGGCATTGCTAGGGCAAGATCGAAGTCATATACGACATCGGCATCTGTTGTGTCGAATAGCCTCGTGTTACCCATGACTCTCAAAATCAGCGCCGCGACAGCGATAAAGAGTTCGCAATATGCTAGCCTGTTGAAAGTCCTGCGGTTAGCCGGGTGCCTGGACAGGGTAACCACAGACAAGAGGGCAAAGACGTACTGCATACCTAGACACTGTCGGGTACCCCTCCAAAAAGTGACGAGATACTGCTCAAGGTGCCTGTCTTTCCTCCCGTTTCTGAGAAGCCATCGCTTAGGGGCGAACTTGGCTGGGCCCGGAAACAGATGTTCATCCATGTGGACCAGGTAGGCCGACATGCCCATGACACACCCTCGGAGGATGACGTGAATGACGCTCACTGCTTGTGTCATCGCAGGAGGAGTCCACGTGCCCTGATACAGCACATCCTCGTCGGGAGCGATTTTGGGCAACCTCGACGAGAGCCCGTACATCAGTCGGAGCGTCTCCTTTATGACAGCGGTCAGATACAGCAGCTGTTCGAGAACGAACCAGTCAGCCAGCGCTTCCGGGTCCTTCACCACCGCTAACAGCTCAGCTCTTATCTTTGCTACGACGTCCGGCTTCTTCAGGAGATGGTGCGTGCAGAGACTGAGGACCGTCGCCGTTGTTTCCGTTCCAACGGCAAGAAAAACGTTCGCCTCGCCGGACAGTCGCTCTTCTGTCTTCTTCTCGGCCGGCAAATTTGACGATAATAGTAAGAAGAGCACAGTGTTTTGGCTCATCTGTAAACCAGCGTCACACGCGGCCTCGGCTCGTCGAACCAACAACGGCAATTTTACCTGCCACCAGCGTCAGCTAGATCCAGTCGAACGCGCGTGTGGCGTACTTTGGAGTGGGATGCCAGGGCTCCAACATTCTCGGAGACTGCGTTTATCACGCTCCTATCCACAGTCAGACCAGCTCGTGACGTGCGAGAGTCCGCTACATACATCGGGACGCGGTCTAAGAGCCAGGCCACGGACGGGAAGTGCCTCATGATGCGTATGAGATGGAACATGGCATAGACACCTTCTCTAAAGTGATCCAACCGAGTTGGTGGAGGAAGCCGAAGGGTTCTCCGAAGCAGTACTCGCTGATGATGTCGGCCGTGTGGTAACTGTATGCTGCGGCAACGTCTAGCGGGCCGTGTCCGCGGCGGGCGAGGAACTTATCGCAAAGCCTTTGCGCGGCGGCGTGGACCATACGTTCGAGCCTTTGTATCTGCGCCAGTGAGAAATTTCTGCTGGCTGCGGATGTGCGAGAGCGGTGGTGGTCATGGTTGACCGTGCCGAAGCCTCCTTGTCAATGCGGTCAACACCAGTCATATGCATGCCGTGCATGGCTTGCTTACCAGTTGGAGACTGCGTGTAACAAGATAGTTAGCCAGACGCCGATGACATGGTGCGGACCAGGGGCACATACTCAGAAGGGAAGGCGGCAACATATTTTGAGGAAGTTTCATAGCCCGAGGGTCCACAGTAGATAAGTCCAGTAAGAGCACTTCGGCCGGTGCTTCGTCCAGTAAGAAGATCGCAGTATACGTACCCAGGGGCCCGGAATAACAGCCTGCGCCGAACCCGACCGTAGCCGCCCATTGTGGCTCTCAGTATCGTGTTAAGGATGGCTTCGAGCCGGCAACATATTTCGCCTCTTCCCACCGCTGGCGTATAGAGTATTGATGAAATTGGGGTCGCTGCAGTGCACCTCGTCGGGGTTAATCCGGATGATGGGGCCTGCGGTGGTCAGCCCGAGACATTTTGTAGCTGCGACCACCTGCCGCCGTCGACGCTGCTCACCGTATGACTCGTGCACCCGCTTGACGAATTCATGCGTTTAGCGTCCTCATCGCACAATGTCAAACCAGATCTCTTGACAGAAGGTCGCTGCTGCGAGCTTTGGGCCAGGAATAGCTGCAAGTGGATGGCAAGTGATGCGACATGTTGCCAGGGCAGTCCCATACAGCCAACACAGTGCAATGACAGACTGTAACATATGCGTTAATGATGACCAGGCGCCCGACGCAGCGACGGAGAGACGTGACGTATTGCTTGGCCCCAACTCCTACAGTACTTGGGTCAACATCTGGAATAGAATAAGGTTGCAGCCCCGAGGACCACATCAGTGCTTCCGAGCCATATTTCGCTCCTGTCAGCAGCGAGCGGGTGTATGACTCCAGCAGATTGCAGACCCACAAGGATTCCGCTCATACCCTTTACTGTGCCATGTTGTAAAAGACCGATCAGTCATACAGCTGCTCCCCCAAGATACGTTTCTGATGCCGATGGCAAGAGCCACTTTTGCTCTGTGTTTGGGGAACAAGTAAGGGCGAAAGAGGGCCAAGCTAAATTTGTCGACAGCCTCTGCTGAGATCATCAGTGTGCGGTACGCTGGGAAATTAGGAGAAACGAAGTCGCCGACCATCGCCACAACTGTATGTTCGAGGCCGGCGCTTCTGGCAATACCACAGACCTTAGGGTTGGAGGAGCCTATTTAGACATCTGCTGCGACTCGCCCAATACGAGATTTGGTTAATACCAGCCCCAACGCACCGTAGACAGCCTTTTGCCTCGTGCGACGATCCACGGAAGGAGGACCGCCAGGAATCTCTCGCTGGGCAACGCGACTCGCGCCATTCGTCAATCAGCATCGCGCCACCCCCGAAGCACGGACTTGACGGTATGTGCGGACGTCAACGAGAACTTCCTCGAAGATTGGCCATTCCCAAACGAGAGAGCCAGACTCAGGTTCGCCGCCGAAGGAGCTCCCGCTTGGCACTGCTGCCAGTATCCCTCGTCCTTGCCTGACCGTATTACGGCTGCCTATTAGTTGTTAGTTATGCTTTTTTTTCTGGATGGTATACAGTAGTCCTGAGATCGCTCATCGTAATTGCCGGCTACTTGCAGTACAGAAAACGCGATGTAGTCGCCTAGTGAGCACCAATTTATCCCAGGACCCTCAAACGCGCTGATCAGACTGATCACAGGCTGCTACTGGCCCTGAAACGGTTCTCGCAAGGTATTTATCTCAGCAAGGACGAACTCGAATCGACAGCTGGCATCGAAATCCTCTTTTCCCACCATATGTCGGTTGTGAACGACGTGACCGGCTGGGATAAGGAGCGTTGCGCCGAGAGAGATTGACGCTCAGGGTTCAGTCGTCTCGAACATCGTTCAGTTACGGTCGGAAGATTGCAGCTTTTCGCCCGAGAACGCGAAGTCCGTCTTCTGGGCGATGTGTGAGGAATGATCCAAGATGGTGAATGCATTTATTTCCAAGCGGGCAGAAGAGGGCTGTTTCGACTCTCTCAGAAAGTATTTAGACGGGCTGAAGATGCGAATGTGCGGCAACGAGCTGTGGAGCCGGAGTACGTTCCGATACAACTCGTCTGGCCTGGTGTGTAGCTCATGTCGGATTCCACGCTGAAGATTATGACAGAACACGTGGGGTTGGGGCAGACTTCGGCCCACAGGCGGGAGACATCGTATCCCGTAGATTGCCTACTTTCCGCAGGGGTCCTTTCGGACACACCCACGCAACGTCTTGCCAACAGTGTAGACTTGGAGCATGCTACAGAGTCGAAGGGAGGTAGTTCCAGGCAAAAGGCTATGATCGGATGGATTTCGGTCTTTTGCAGTTTGGTCATCATGAGCTAGATTGCCAGTTGGATCGGGGGGAAACTGGGTAGCTTAGGCCAGCGCCACACAAGCGCCGTTGTGCCCCAGTCGGTGACACGAGTCAACAAGTCGCACATGGTTTGGTTCAGTGGACTTCCGCTGTGTGCGATTCAACTGCTGACCTCCCCGATATCCGTCAGACGGGGTACATGAACCTGATCATCTCCACTTCGCGGCAAGGTATCCATGAGAGACTTCCACGGCGGAGTTGTCGCCACGGGCCGCTTCTAGAGTACGGCCGCCCCATCGGGCTGCGCTTCGGGCTAGCCAGAGCCCAGGCACCACATGAGCAGGCCTCAGTTTGGGCATAGATGTACACCGTGGGCGAAAATTGCTAGGGCAAGCTCGGTAGTGGAGTCGACGGCAGTTCTAAGACGAAACTATGACCAAATATCTCGTAGGATGACACGATGAGTGCTTTCCGCCAGATGGAGTAGTCCGGGCCCGAGAATGAGGACCGAGGTCCTTGCCCCCCCTTTCGCCGCCGGGAGGGCGCATATTGCGGCGGACAGTGTCATTGTGCGTACGAAAAACGACGGGCACCTCGGTGTTGATGGACCTCAGGTGTTTGTGTGAGGGCCGACCTCCGCGATCGCTGGGAAATCGCCGAGCAGGCGTTGCACAGCTCATGCCGCGTGACAGAACGACGACGTTGAATCTGACATGAAGCATTGACATCTGATCTGCCGTTCACGGTGGCATATTTCGCTTCATTGGAATGTCAGCGGTCAAGCGCGAGTGCACTGAGTGGCTCACCCGAGCAATTCAGCTGTTCGGTAAACCAAGGGACTGTGGTAACGGCCCACTCATGTGCATATGGAGTATGCTCCCCGCCATGCACCAGGCATCGTGCTTCGCCGCTTGTGCAGTGGCTATTAGAGCCACGAAATGCTGTCTAAGGCTAGAGACTATCTCTTGTGGGACTGGAACACCATGTTCAAGCTGTCGCGCGGCCTTCTACGACAGCTGACGGGTCGATCTCCGTCGCCTCGTCTCGACCTTGAACAGACGCCGAAATAAACTCTTGAAAGAGGTAACCGAGTGGTTCGCCGTTGCCTGGTGATCTTGGATAGAGCAGGCTACATCGGAGGACGAGATTTTGCAGATGAGGCTACCGATAGTCGCGCACGCCATTGCAGTAGATACAGCGATATCATACAAGGGTTAGACGGCGTGACATAGCTCTCAATCTTCACTGCTGACATTGAAACGCAGGCTTTCACGTGAGGGCGGTCTTTGACGAGCTGCATCGACGCATCGTGACGAAAGCACTCAGCCGCCAGCGAGTAGTCTCCGCGGCCCATGGCATGGCTGTGGTCGCCTCCCGTGTGGCGAGATAGCAGAGAACGCACTAAGTCACACGCCGCAACACTACCAGAAGTCTCGTGTCGAACTGTTGAGAGAGCATCAACCCAGTATCGCCAACGTTCGGTCCTCCGATCTGTGCCTCCTATGCTTCGTCAGGTCAGCGGACATCTTCCTGCCATGTAAATGTGCCGTGTGCGAGACATGATGTTGGAGCTATGGTCGTCCCACAACAGGAATGGTGACGACGTTTGATCGGTGCGTATGGTGTAGTGTGTTTTGCTGGTGGATGCGCGACTCGCCAAAAGCCGATCACCGCTGGCTGTCGGGTTCTGGTCTTGGATGGTGGTGGAGTGAAAGGAATTGTACAGCTACACGTATTGGAGACCATTGAAAAGCTTACGAAGCTGCCGATCCGCATATTCTTCGACCTGGCCATTTGCACGCTGTGCCAAGGAAGACCACCGCTACATCAAATGCCGTGAGACGAGCGTGAAATGCGTGTCCTGTAGCGGACCGCATAAGTCGTTCAGCAGGAACTACCCGAAGCTGTATCCGCGGTCCCATGAGTAGGAAGGTCCAAATCCTCCAGCTCAATATGAGGAAGCAGGCTGCAGTCCATGAGAGTTTGAAGAACGACGAGGCGTTGCGTGATTTCGAGGCCATAGCAGTGCTGGAGCTGTGAGTATGGAAGAGAGAAGGTAAGGTCATTACAGACAGTCCCGATTGGACATAGTAGGTGGACGAGGATGCCCCCTGGCGATTCGCGCTCTCTTCATATACCCCCATAGGTGTCCATAGAGCTTTCTCTAGCCCAGGCCATCCTGGCCCTCGAATACTTCCCCGTGAGAGTCATACGGCAGTCAACAAGGTGCGCCTCCAGGCGGCAAACTGCGAAGAAAAAGTTAGAAGGGAAGAAAGATACCGATGGCGTGGAGAGAAGAGGGAAGATGGGGGATCAGGAGTTTGCTGTGTTTGAACAAAGAAGTAGAGGCGGAGCAGGTGCCGATAGCATCACCGGACATCACGGCGGCCGTCGTCCGGCTTCCGGATCGAAACTTGCTGGTAGCATCGGTATCTGTGGCGGTGTTGAACCCGGAGATGCTTCGACAGGCGTGCGGCCTGCTGAGGCGGGCCATCAAGAATGTACGAGAGGAACAGATAAAGGGTGGACGCGGTCCTCGTGGGGGACTTCAACTGGTGCGAATACCTGTGGGAAGGCGTTGGTATGTCGGAAGACCGGCAGGGCGAGGCGAATCCGATCATCGATCTGATGAGCGAGTACTCGCTTCGATCCTCCCACGGGGCACGAAGACGTGGGAAAAGAACGAGGCACCAGTGACGATCGACCTATCTCTTACATCTGAGGAGATAGCCAAGACAGTTGCACAATGTGGAATATATCGGACGGACCACGGCTCGGATCACCGCGCGATTGAGACAATTTTTGACATTGCGGCACCCGAGACGGAAAGCCGTCCCTGACTGCTACTCAAGAGTTCGCCGTGGAGGCAGATCAACGAGAAGAAGGAAGCGAGTGTTCGGCAGGCGCCGCCTGGAGGCACGGTGCAAGAGCAGGCGGATCGTCTGATATCGGCTGTGGGCGAGGCAGTAGA